TTGGAAAAGACCTGCAAGATCATCACCAACAGTTCTCACTAAACCACGTCCCTCAACACAAAATCCAAACATTCCTTGAATGCCTCCAGGGTTGGTTACTCCACCACCTCCTGGGAAGCCCATTCCAGTGCCTGACCACTCTTTCAGAGCAGCAGTATTTCCTAACGTCCAACGTGAATCTCCCCTGGTGCAGCTTGAGGCCATTTCCTCTGGTCGTGCCACTGGTTACATGGGAGAAGAGGCCGAGTCCAGCTCACTGCAACTTCCCTTCAGGTAGTTAGAGAGAGCTGTAAGGTCTCCCCTGAGCCTCCTCTTCAGCAGATCGAACAATCCCAGCTCCCTCAGCCAAGCTGATAACAGCCTACACCACTCTGTCAAAGGGAGGAGCTGCACAATATCATAGCAGATTAAAATTACTCAAGTTCCCCGATAGGCAGGAAGGTAAATACTAAAACTAAAGTCCAGCTGGATCAAAATAACCAAACACATGATTTTCAATAATACAAATTTTAATTTCATTATTAGGGAGTCACAAACTTCATGGAAATCAGAAACTAGGAGGATTCACCTCTTCAATAGATTTTACTAACGGTGTTTTATCATAAAGTTCTGCACTGATATCCCAGGTCTCAGGTCTCCTAGTAGCTGCAAGTAAATCTGCCTCTCCAGCAAGTCTGCTACCTTGAACACATCCCATATCACAGTGCATTTGGGAAGAGTGACAACTGCTAACTCTTCTTGTACACCTGTTTGTGCATTTACCCTGGAGGTCTCCCTTTAAGCAGTAAGCAAACGCTGTCATTGCTTCAGTTGTGTGATGAGATCAATGTCTGAAGCAGCCTGTCTGACAGTGAATCTCTGCTCTGAGGAAGAAGGTCAGATATTACATGGACTTCTTCATCATTCACATCTGTCACTTTTATCTCAATCTGTGTGTAACTGTCTTATTTTGTAGGCTTTCTTCCCAGCTGCAAAGTTCAAGTCTTTTGCTTCTGCCTTGCCACACATTCCACTGGAGCCACAGATAGGTACAAGATGGGCACCTTATCAGATGTTCCCCCAGACAACAGAGGAGAAGCAGCCAGCACAGCTGCTTCTTCCACGTGGCATTTCTTATCCCCCTTACAGTTCAATAAAACAGGAACAACTTCAGCTGTCAGTGAAGTGCTTTCTGAAAAGGCATGCTGCTTTGGAAAGAGTACAGCCACACTGCCACATTACGGAGTACAGGATGAACCAAAGATAGCATACACTACAATTCACACTGAGATGTACACACATACTAAATACAGAATTTTTTAGATGGCTTTCTTAAAGTGACTTCCAGCTTGAGGCAAGGCAAAAATAAGAGATACATGAAATGAACATGTAACAAGCATTTCAAGTTAAAAAAGAAAAAAGAGCATGGCTCAGATAAGGTCATTTGCAATAGCTTAATAGCTTTTGGAATAATATTCCATGGTGATGATAAAAGACAGATGGAATCTGTGACTGTGATAAATCTTCAGTACTTAAGAGATGAGCAAGGACTACATAAAAATCTTTCAAAATGGAAAGACTCACTGGTATGCCCTTACCTTTGTCAGCTGCTCCCTTTCAACTATATGCTGACGATCATAAAGACAACTGCCACAGTCTATTTCAGGCGATGAGTAAATACATGGAGAATACTCAGTTCTGCAGTGCTGCCTGTCTTGTTACTTTTTTGGCAAAAAAGGCCTGTGGCTGAATGGTGCCTTCAGAAAGACCTGACATTTCCCAAGCCAGCCATGAAAGGAACACGTTCTATCATCTTCTTCTCCCTACATGGAACATTCCTTCTTAGCCCAGGTTTTTGATTCAACAGAAGAGGAATGCAAGCTCATCAAATATGCCTGTAGTATGTGCGGGTACAGCTCTCCCGAGTTCTGAAAAACCACATCTTTCTTCTGCTAAAGGTGGATTTGGCACACAAATTTGCCCAGAGAATACCAGCTTCTGTATTTTCCTTCATCATTCTATTCCACTTAGTCAGAGTTGCAGCCAAACTGAGAACGCCATGACCATTGCTACAAACACCACAAATGAACTATAACAAGGCAGAAAGAAGATCTGAACTTTAGACTAAGGATGACAGCCCTACCACTCCTGCCTGAGTTGGTAGCCCCATTATCTGGAAGCAGTTGTGAAGTGAGAACACACATGCATACACAGCTCCAGAAATTAGATTTCCTGCACCATGAACGGACTCCTTTCAACGGTCATTGTTTTCTCAGAACTTGCAACTTTCCACCCTGCAACAAAACATCATCCTTCAACCCAGCAGAGATCTGTGTTGCTTCCTTTATTTTTTGAAAGTTACAGTTTTTACGAGATAAGCAGAGGCCAAGGGGAGAAATCGGACATAGTGCTCATTTTCTGCTGAGCCATACCTGTAACACACTCTGGGATCCTGTTACTTTCTGCAGCATGTCGTTTTTAATTGCCTTATCATAAAATAGTTTTTAAAGCACTGAACATTAAGGGATTTAAACCTCTTTAATGCTCCTGGATGGCAATCTCTCAAGGCTCATACTGAGGCCAGCTCCATATAATAAAGAGAACGTGGGCAAAAAAGTAATACCGTAAATTAATGACAAGTATTGTAGAGAATATTTGAAACACTTGAAATAAGACCTCTAGGAGATCTGCATTTCAACAATAGGCCAAAGCAGTAAGGGAGGAAGGGAGGGAGGGAGGGAGGGAGGGAGGAATATTTCTGTTCTTTCCGGGGTAAAGTCATTTATTACTCTCCAACCAAAAGGTTTTATACAATTTAATACGGGTAGATACAGGTGTGTGAAATCAAACCTGTACAGGGAAAGGCCCACAACAGCAATCAGATGTGCATAGACTGGGGTAAAGCAATATGAAAACCATGGTATCACTGCACTCAAAAAAAAAGAAGGTCCATCTTGAATATAGGAAACTGCTGTCAGCAGCGGTACACACAGTGTTGCAAAAACACTGAGGTCTACAGTGCAATAGGAGCCAGTTTGGGGAATGTAATAGCTGTCTTATCCTGAATAATTGCAATTCACAGAAATCTGTGATTATCTAAGAAATGTGGATAGCAACACCTACACTCACAGGGGTGAATGGGATCCTTTTAGCTAACTCAAAGATTTTCCTATCAAATTATCTCTAAAGAATGAAGAGAAATCAAGTTTAGGTAATTGAGTTTGTTCAGTATGCAGGTATTTGAAAGCAATGAAAGTTATTCAGACCTTTGGTATCATTAATGAGTGGTTTCAGATAAGGAAAAGCTGTCCCAAAGCACCATTAAGGAGCTCAGCAACACTTCTGAAATGAGCTGCAGCTTGGACATCAGTGCAGCGGGTCACACTGGAGGAAATCCCTTCTCATAGCACATTTTGACTGTTCTCACAAATCAGTCAGATAGCCTCCCATCTGTCTTTTCCAAAGGTATTTTCTGCATCCAAGACAAAGGCTTGTTATAAAAGCCTATTAGAATCCTAACAGTTGATCATTGTGAAGTTAATTTATTTTATTAAGGTTTATTTAATAGCTTTTTGCTAGGTTTCAGTGCCTGAACTAAATGATCTTCATTAGTTTACAGATATTATGTCTTGTACCTAAGTGCATGTATCTGGAAGTACCCCAGTAGATATCTAAGGTACACGAGCACCAAGAATTTTCCACAATGAATGACAGTGCTTGGAATACCAAATTCATTCTTGCTTACATAAAGCATTTTTTCTAATTCTATTTCATCTATGTCATCTCTGAAGCTTTGGAAACTTCAGATTCAAAAACAAATAATTCATCTTATTTCACATTACTTACATACCAACTGTAATTGCTAAGTTGTTCGGAGTGTCCCACAGCCAAAGAAAATTTTACGTATTTTTCTTTTTCATATATCTTCCTCAGTTTTGAAAGGCCTTTTCCATAGAATAACACAGACTTCTGTGTTTAAGCAAGTCCATCTGTTAAAAATTAGATAATTTAGCAGATCTATCTTCTCAGGCTAAGTTTATACTCAGCAGCTTTCCAGGAGTAGTGCCTAAGTGATTGAGACGGCCAAGCTCAGGGCTGGGTAAGCTGTAGTCAAGGTCTCTACCTGCTGCAGCTTATCAGTCACATTAAGGTTGAATCAGTCTTCACACAATGAAGCAATATAATACATTCTCTGAATTCTGTATGGATGGGGCCTTATAAATATTTCTATAATTAGTCAAAGCACAGTAATTTTTTTTTTCCTACAGGTTAAATACTGCTGATTAGCTGCTTACTTTTTAGAAAGTTCTCTATCCTTAGTATTTACACGAGTCTTTTTCTAACCTGCTGTAAGCCCGTTAGTCCAAACCAGATAAGGAGTCTAATTTTAAAGCTGGAGATCCATGCCTCTCCTGTACTCAAGAACTCCACGTCAGGATGGAGTACTCCAGATGTGGTCTCACCAATGCAGAGCAGAGGGGCAGCATCATCTACCTTGACCTGCTGACCACAATTCTTTTGGTGCAGTCCAGGACAGGAGTGGCTTTCTGGGCTGTGAGGGTACACATTGCTAGTTCATGTCCACTTGCTATTTACTAGTATCCCTATGCCCATTGTGGCAGGGCTGTTCTCTGTCCTTACATCCTTCAACTTGTGCTGATACAAGGGGTTGGTTGCCATTACCCATGTGCAGTACCTTGCACTTGGATTTTTTGAACCTCACGAGCTTCTCCTTGTCCCACTGACAAAGGCTAAGTCTCTCTGAGTGGCATCCCATCCCTCAGTCATCTTGACCTTATCACATAGCGTGTTGTCATCCACAAACTTGATGAGAATGTACTTGATCCCACTGTCAATGTCACTGCTGAAGATATTAAAGAGCACTGGTCCCAGCACTGACCCCTGAGGAGCACCACTTGTTACTTTCTCTATCCAGACATTGAGCCAATGACCACCACTCTCAAGGTATGACTAGACTAAACTTTGTTCATCAGTCCACCTTTCAAATCCACATATTTTGAATTTGAAAAGAAGGATATGATGGGGACTATGTCCAAGTCTCTACTGACATTAAGATAGATTACATCAAGCATTTTCCTCATCCGCTCATGTAGTTATGCCATCATGAAATCCACTAGTTATCTTTTCAAAATTAGTTCTTTTTTGTAACACTGAACATTATAAATTGTATTTTCTTTACATAGCAGTAGCTAATAGCTTTTACCTGAAATGAGCTTGTTTCTGAAGAAACAAAAGTTGGATTTGCTACTTTTAAACATTTTATATTTTTTCTTTGTCAAATCCTAACCATTTTAAATGCATAGGTTTTCTTCAGTTTTGTTTATTTTGCGGGGTAATTTGATAAATTAATGCATATTTTGTAAAGCAAACAAGTGTCTGGCAGTTAGTACATAGCATGACAACAGAATTGCTCTTTGATTTGCGTAGTAGTGTTCCTGTTAAAAATTCTGCTTGCCAGTCTTTGAGATTAAATTCTTTTCTATAGAATGAGTGTGTTAAGTCAAATTATGTGAATCTGCCTAAACCACTTTCTTCTTGTATCAGGCAGTCTCAGAATTCTATAATAATCCTTCCTTCCTAGAACTTTGGAATTGTTTTTTAGACACAGTCTTTCTTTCTGTGTTTAATTGTTACAATATCAATATGTCTTACGTACTTTGATACATTCAATAAAGTGCACTAGCACAGCAAAATATCATGGCTCAGTATTAACTGATTCATAGCAAGCAAAGAAATATATTTCCAAGAATAAATAAGAATTGTAGTTTTTTTTTTTAATTGTCAGCAATACCTGTAGACACTATCTTCTAGAACTAACAATGCAAAGGCAGATATACATATGCAATAATAACACCAAAAACAAGATCACTACTGTATTGTAATTAATAAGTCATTCTCTTCTATGAGGCAGTTCTTTTGTTTACTAATAATCCTAGAATGCAATGAAATAGCAAGTATCAACTAGTAACAGTGTTACACTATCTCCAGCTCTAAAATTAGACTCCTTATCTGGTTTGGACTCACGGGCTTACAGCAGGTCAGAAAAAGACTCGTGTAAATACTAAGGACAGAGAACTTTCTAAAAAGTAAGCAGCTAATCAGCAGTATTTAACCTGTAGGGAAAAAAAATTACTGTGCTTTGACTAATTATAGAAATATTTATAAGGCCCCATCCATACAGAATTCAGAGATTTACAGTGCTTTCCTTCACACACACAACAGTCTGGCTGAAGTTTTGGCCCTGAAAGCATTGCCCCAGCAATCTTTACATTAAGATCTGCAGCAGTGAACTATGGCATCAAGTTAATTACAGGTGACAGAATTTATTGTGCTATCATGTACCAATAAAAAATCTCAGTTGTCATATTCTTCCAGATAAAGATTTTTCGCATGCTTTGAACCATTAAGACGACGTGATCCAGTGGTCCTGAGCACAATAATAGCATGCATTACTGAGGGATATTTAAAAAGGTGTATGTCATTAAGACTTGCTTCAAACATGCAATTGAACTTAAGTGCTATTTTCTACTCGGAACTTAATAGGCTGATGAAAAACTAACTACCAAATGGGATTATTATGTTTCTAACATTTCTAATGAATAAACAGCTTTCTTTCAAACAGCCAACACAGAAGATTGTTTTTATGTGTTATTACTCTGAGTTACATTACCCAGTTAAAAATACTCTATATGTAAGGGAATCTACTCCTCTGAACACAGGAAATAGGCAGTTATAGAAATTCAAACAACAAAATATTCCCCTGTGTTACATAAGAAGACTGGAGAAACCAGCAGACCATCTAGCAAAAATAAAAGTGTACTCACTGTACTGAATGTGAACTTGTGGAGGCTTTTTTCTTAGCATAAAACCAGCCAGCATTCCTTCACCCATCAACTATTTTGAACATGCACTGGAAATCAAGGGTTGGCAATGAAGATAAACACGTCATTTTTCTACAAGGGAGGCATTACAAAGAAGTTGTTCTTACATGGTAAATAATAGAAACTCACCGAAGAATGGGATGAAATAATGCAGTTCTTCCAGTACTTTGCTGCGTGGGTGAATACGGACATGAATCCGCCAATCTTATTTCTAACTTCTGAAGAAAACACAATGGCTCAGCTGTGAAAAATTTCCTGGACTGTCAAGTAACTGGAAGGAAAGAAAAAAAAATACAACAATGAAGACTGATAGTGCTCTGCTTTACCTAACATAGTAATTATAACCTCATGTGCTGTTTTATCCCCTCACAATTACTTGACCCTGTGCAAATGTTTCAATATATTGATATTACAATGAAAAACAAGTAGGTAAAACCACGCTTTTGTCAACATGCCTCTTTCAGAAGCCCTATTTATTAGGATGCCAGTTTCAAATTTAGCGTTAACATATATTAAGCTAGGAAGAGAGTCACTATCACGTTAATATCTATTAGTCATTGTAATTATGAAAAAACAATTAGATATGTGTTGCATCACCTTGATTGAATATCCCTGTGATGCATCTCTAGTTTACATCTACTGACCTCCTGATCCTCCGGGAGATTAGCAAAAATGAACCAAATAAAATAAGACTTCCCACCTGTGGTTTGGCTTCCAAATGAGATTCAACACCCAGCGTGTACATCTTCTGTTATCCTGGTCTATATTTGTGCTGTCTATTTTCATGTCACATCACCAAAATCTTTTCTCCTTAGGCTTGTTTTGAAGTGTTAAAGATGACGTCTCAGCCAGATGGAGAGCCAGCTCCAGGTACAAGAGGTGTACCAGCAGAACCAGGAGTTACTAGGGTAGGAAAGTACAGCATGGCATCCCTTTTTGGTGCTGTCTGCCACACTGCGGTGTCAGCTTACAGCTCCCCAGGGAGAAATGCACGTCATCTCCTCGCACAGCAATTAAAGACCACTGTGACATTATTTTAGGATTTGGCATCCTCAGTGGGTGAACCCAGCACCTGCCTGTATGGCACCATGAGGCCTTTTGGCTCAAACATCAATCCCAAACCCCACAGAAACAGGGAGGCTGCAGCGTGTGTCCTTCGTGCAGCCCCTGTGCTTGAGTCAGAGATCGCTGACGTACAGCAGTGCCCCATTTCTGCTGCGGTACGACGCGGGATTGCTGAAGTCGCTGCAGATTTGGAGAAAAGATAGATCATCTCCAGAAAGCACTCCCCATACAACTTGCCCACATGCGTGGGGCACAAGCCCCATTTTGGGGGCAATGACTCACACCCCCCCCATCACAGCCGTGCGCCGAGGGCACCATCACCCCCCTGTGCACAGCCATCAACTTGTCCCGGGACTCCACGCACCCCACAGGCATCCCTGCCCCCATCCTCAATCCCATGGTGACATCAGCATGGACTGAATTGGGGCAGGGAATGTGGGCGGACACAGGGACATGTGAGGACATGGGGGCACATGGGGTGGAGGTGTGGGGTCAGAACTGCAGAAGTGAGATGAGGTGACACGTAGAGGTGACTTAGGGAGGTGGCAGGCTGTGCCAGTGCCATTTGAGCAGCACTAGCCCAACCTGGGGGTGATGGTGACACTCCAGGATGTGGAGATGCTATTGGTTTTCAAGCAGGAGTCCATTATCTATACATAATACAGCACTTGTTTGTTTGTTTTAAGTCAGGGATAGTATGCAGCCTGATCCCATGTCTTTGAAAAGTGCAGCTTAAGGAGCGTCAGCTGAGAACAGCAGCAGAACATGGGGTCGTCACAAGGAAGGAAGTGAGGAAAGAAAGGAGAAAGCCTGAAAAAGGAATGGGGAAAGCACAGGGTGAAGGAAAGGGCAAGACATAGGGGAATAAGGGGGAAAAGGACAGAATAGCGGTAGAGCAGCCTAAAAAGCAGCAAGAAGCTCTGGGAGGACTGTCAAGTGCCAAATTCTGTATCAGGTGTGTACCTGTGTGCATATGTTGCCATTACCTGCTTTGGTCAGGGTTCTTGCCAGTTCTGAGCTCCTGCAGTGGGAAGAGCTCGAGCAAGTGGTACAGTCACTGCAGACCTGTGGGATGGGGGAGTGCTTGATAAGGACAGCCCTGCAGCCCTCAGCTGGACAAACTTGCTCCTTGTGCCCAGGCTGTGAGCTGTACAGTGCCCGGCCGCACTGCTCCAGCTCAGAGCCCGCTGCCTGCAGCTGCATCTTTGCTTCCTTCCCTTCTGCCCAGAGCCTTGAGGGTGCTCCCACAGTCCCCTGCCCGCCCCCAAAATGTCAGAGAAGACAGCTGGCAGCGAGCCGGAGGAATCCCAGCACCCTGTTTTCCTTCTGCCTGCAGCTCTCTCCTCCTCTGCCACACAGGGCTCCAGCCTGCGAAATGGGAATGGTCGGGGGGAAAGGGAGTGCTGGCAGGAGCGACTGCTGCAGCTGGCCGGGGAGGGTCTGTGCACCCTGTGCCCTTCTGGGCTATCTGTCCAGCTGCAGGAAGACCAGGGTAGGGCAGCTGAGAAGCTGCCCCCATCAAAGGGGGGAACAAGCTGTCCTTCCACAAAGACATTCCTCTCACAGCCAGATGCACCCACACAACTCTCGGGCCATCTTGCCAACAGCAGCTGTGACACATCAATTCTTTCTAGGCAGGTGAATTAATTTTTTCCATCTGTAAACTGAGGGGGAGGACTGCAGTTTTTGTTAATCTTTGTAGGAACACTGTAATGGTCTACACAGAACTCAAAACTGCAGCTTTGTGCTAGATCTGGCTGCTTAGACTTCCTAGGACCTAAAACTTCCCATTTTATGGCATGAAAAGAACAGAAAGCCAAAAATGAAACCCGCAGTGAAAGAAAGGCTTTTGAAGAAAAATACGTGGAAGTATAAACAAGACAGAGGCTGAGTGAACATTAATATGGCCCTGCACTTTCTGCCAATGGGCTCTAATCCCATTATCATTAGATTTGCTGGGTAGTTGCATTTTGGTATTTGAACACTTAGAAACAATGCAAGAGATGTTGGCAAAAAGAAAGAAGAAAAAAAAGAAAAAAAAACTCTTTTTTTTTTTTTTTAAAAAAAGCTATTTATATGCACTTGGCACAGCTCTCCTAGGTTTGGAGTAGGTTCCCTCTTTCTTCTTCGTCTTTCCCCCCACAACCCCTCCACTTCCAACTTCGTGCCCCTCTCCCGTCCTCACAGCACACAGACCGGATCACCAGGCACTGCGCCGCTGCTCCCCGCCAATCCCGTGGGAAAAGTTCTTTCCGCGGTCTCTGCTGCCACCTCCTGGCCAATGCGCGGAACGGCCGCTGCGTCCCGCAAGCAGCACAACGCATGCGCGTACGAAATGCGGAAGTGCCGTTCTAACCGCTCTACTCAGCTAATCCGCCGCCTCTCTATGGTCATCAGTCCTCCAGGTAATAGCAAACATAGCAGTGAACAGCCCCGGCCCGGCTCGGCAGCGCGGCGTGCGCCAGCCCCGGCCCGGCAAGTTATTTCTCATGATTAGTTTCGAGTACTCACCTACGCATGCGTTGTTTTCGACTCCTCATTACGCGTGCGAGGGGCACAGGGGCCGCTGGGAGCCAGAGTAGTCTGTTGCCGAGGCAGGCTCCAGGAATCGACTGCTCGCCTGCGCCTCGAGGCTTTGTAGATTTGAATGCTAGTTATGAGTGTCCTGGCGCATGCGCTCTGTTGCCTCGAAGACTAACCATAACAAAGCTCGGTGGATTTGCTGCGCAGAGTGAGGACTACACCGCGAGCGCACCGCCGCCGCGTGCCTGTGCGCATGCGCCCTGGTGCCTGCGGCGCCAAACAAACACGGCCGCAATTCCACCTATTGGCCACGAAAGGGCACCGGAGACCGCGGAAACAACAACGAGTGGCTCGACGCGCAGCCGCGCCGCAGCTTCTGGCGCTCTTCTCCCTGCCGTGATGGCAGAGGAAAAACGCAGTTAGATGGGGGTTGAGGGAGGAGAAAATTACGTCAATTGGAAAAAGACGAAGAAAACCAAGGAAAACTTCTCTACACCCAGCAAACCTCTGCTAAGCACGTAAGAATATCTGTAAATCAATAAATAAATAATCAAATTGATTTTGTCATGCTTTTTTTTTTTTTTTTTTTTTTTTTTTTTTTTTTTTTTTTTTTTTTTGCAAGCCTCTGAGGTGATGAAAAAGCTGGTATCAATTGGACAGGTATGCGCAGCAAAGCCAAGGACGGCTAGGAGTGATTAACAATCGTTAACGTTGCAAAACAATTGCAATGCAAAACAGACATTCAACTTCAAGATTTAAAGCATAGTAGTTTTCTATTTCTAACTTCCGTACCTGGCCACGCCACTCTGGGGATCCCATCTGGGTCTCCCGAGGCTTGTAAATATGCACTGAAATATCAATTTTGATACTGAGCAATCTGTCAGAATGGGGTAACCCCATTCAATCCCTAAGTGAGCTTCCCACAGTCATTACAAACCTGCCTGCATATAAGCAATGCACGTACAAGGAGCTCATGATGTTTCATTACCTGCTCCGCAGATTTCACAGTGCTTATACCACTGATTAGAGGAGCCCTGGTAATCCTTATACCCCATCAAGCTGCAAAATGAGATCAGAAGAGACATAGAACATATATTAATACATAACAATACACAACAGAGCACCCTTAAGCAATTCTGCATGGGTGGAATTAATATAGCACTGTGAATTAGTTACTAAAAAGGCTGGAATGAGGTTGGAGCAGACAAACCATGTTTGGAGCCCCAGGTCGGAGACTATGAGGTGAGAATCATAAAAGAGGGAACAGAGGCTCAACCAGAAGGTAATGAGTCTAAGAAGATTTGCAGACAGGATCTGGAGAATTCAGAACCTGTTTATGGAAAAGGGCATTAGATCTGAGCATTCCCAGAGCTGTAGCGCGCAGTCAGCCAACCAGCATCATCTTGGGGCTGACTGAAGCGTTCTGGAAATGAGGGAGCAATGAAAGATTGAAACATGTATCAGTCCTTCCATCACCAGCTCAGAGAAAGGGAAATAACACCCTTATCTCCCTTAGGGAGAACTTGAAGAGCATTTTAAGGACACACATAACAGATACTGCTCTAATCCAGTTCAGAATATGCAAAAAATGGCAGAGCTCACAGCCCTGAAATTAAGAAGAAATCACTCACCCCTTCCTGAGGACCAATACTCACCCACACTCCCTGGAAGGCATTCTGCAGGTAGAGATGGCTGCCAGCCCTTAAACGTGGCCAGGACCACAGACACCTTGAGAACTCCTTCAAAATTGCAGCTGCTTCCCTGGAATCAGACACTGAGGCATTCGTTTCACAAAAGCTTGATAGCAATACTGCCACTTAGATTCAGTTCACAAACTTTTTTTAAATCATAGAATTTTGTTCTTTTTCTTCTAATCTTTACAGCTGTCTGTTTACAAGAAAACTGCTCCAAGAGGCTGCAGTGGCTTCTTTGAGCTATTAGACCCAACTGGGTGGTGCAGGGATTTCTCTATGGGCTAGGCTCAGTAACAATTCCTCCTCAGGTCATAAGCATGACTTGTCTTTTTTTCATGTAGCAGGGGTTGACTGCAGGCCATCTTCTGTTCTCTGTCATACTGGTGTTAAGCCCAGGGCACCTCTCCCTAAACTGTGTCTACCATATATATGTCTATAGAGATGATTCCTAGGGTTATAGTGTGAACTGCTCTTCCTTCTGTAAGGGTAGCAGTGCAGATTTTGTATTAGACTTCTGAGGTCAGTGTAACATGGGCTTCTCTTGTTGCAACTGGCTTCAGCCATTGCTCCCTTGCAGCTCCGTGAGAACACAGCACACTAGAATATTATCAAAGCAGCAGCTGCTTTGCTTTAATGGAGAAGTAAGTTCTGTCACATAGCCTCCTCCAGTGTCATTGGTGTCCCAGCTGACTTTGCTTTGTCTCTTCATAGTGACTTGGGAAGAAAAATTTTGACCAATTTGCTGCAAAAAAAATTGGAAGTGGTGCTCAAAGTGTCACGTACAGGTATTAAGCAGCATTTCTCAATGCCCAGAACTGTTCTGATAGGAGCAGATAAAATCAATATCAAGGTCGAACCTATCTGTGTCTTTTTAAATGTCTTTTTGTTGTTTTTTCTTCAGAATGCTCCCAATGTGGAGTTTTGTCAAATGTTTATGCAGCTTCTTCCAAAAAGCAGAGTGCATTCTTTCCTCTTCATGATAGTGTGAGACTGGTATGAGCCCAGAAAAGATGGGAGGAAGGGTTCTGCAAGATAAGGTGTCTAGCATCTAACCTGCAAGGAAGAGCAGAGTCAGCTCCTGCTCTGATACTGGAGAGATGCTCCCAAAGAGAATGGATACACAGAATCTCACTTGGTCTGTGATAAAGTGCAATGGCACAACCTCCAGTTCCAAAGCTGAAAATGTCTGGTGCTGCTGGGGGCTTGATAGCTCTGTGAAATAGATGTCATTATTATAAACGAGTGCCTGTAATAGTTCTTCCACAGGACAGATGATATTTAGGGATTCAAGACTGAAATAAATGAGGGATTGAACAAGACAGCTAGACAATATTTTAGAATTGACTTATGTTCTATTACTCCACTATATACGGAACTACCTGGTAACACTCCACTCAATTTTTTTTTTTCCTTTTTCTGTGTCAATCAAGTTCAGTCCATGTTGTCTCAGAAATTCAAAATGTGGCCAGTCTCACTGTAAATTTTCCTAACCAATAATGAATAATGTAAAACTTTTAAGATACGAAGTTATTTAAAAGTTAGATGCATCCTGAGAAATTTACACTGATGAACTATACACTATAGAAGAGCTTGAAGAAAAGGTTAATATCTACAGGAAGATGTGGTGGCAATCCTAACAGAGCCTTTTACCCTCAGAGCTGCCAGTGCATACTGTGTCCCTATGTTTTACAAAATGAAGTGTGTGAAGTTAGCCTGAACAGAGAGAAATACATTCCAAGAACTGAATTCTGTGGTTCTCGGAAGCTGTAATGACACCAGAGGGGAAATACAAAGCTTAATTGTCCTTCCTTGAGCTGATGTTCCTGAACCATCCAGAAGCCACTTTGGATACTGGCGTGAGATGCAGCAACTTGGGACTAGTTTAGTTATGCCTGCAGATACGGCCTCTGCAGGCATTTCAGTTGAGTTAGCCACTGTGAAGCATTAAGTGCATTTCTTCTCTCCAAACACTGCTATCCAGGTGAGGGATTGTTCCTCTCTGCTCAGCATTAGTGCAGCCTCACCTCAAGCACTGTGGGAGCCACAAAATAAGAAAGACAAAAAGCTATTGGACAGGATCTAAAAATGGTGAAGTATCTGGAGGGCAAGACGTATGAGGAGCAGATGAGATCCCTTGGTTTGTTCAGCCTAATGAAGAGGAGAACAAAGGGAGGCATCATGGCAGCCACAGCCCATGTGGGAGGAGAGCAGAGGGTCAGGTGCTGATCTCTTCTCTGTGATGACAGTGTCAGGACCTGAAGGAACAGCATGTAGCTGCATTGCGAAGGTGGGCAAGATTGGGTATTAGGGAAAGATTCTTCACTGAGAGAGTGATTGGGCACTGGAATAGTCTCCCCAGAGCAGTGGTCATGACCCCAAGCCTGTCAGATTTCCAGAAGCATTTGGACAACTCTCAGACACAGTTTGAATTTTGAATTCTGTGTGGAACCAGAGTTTAACTTGATCTTTGTAGGACTCTTCCAACTCAAGATATTCTATGATTTTAACACATCTCCTCTGCTGTAGAATGAGTAACTAATGGCTTAAAGAGAAGTAGGCCAGTGTCCTGCAAAGGCAAGCGACTATACAACTCATGAGAAAAGGACACTGCTTCCTTCTTGTTCGTTTCCATCAAGGAAACTTTTACTGATTTAATGTGCCAATCCTGATGTCTTTTCTGTGGGTGGAGAACTGTGGAGGGCATTTGCTCTTCTGCTGGTCATCAGATTTCAGAACCCACGTGGGGATAAATACTATATACTATATGCTATACTCTTTTGTATGGGAGAAAGGGAGGCCACATTCCTCCCTGTAAATGAGACTTTACAGTTTTATTTTTCTCATGCAACTTTAAAAATATTGAACAAAAATGTATATTAAAGTGTTGGACTGACAATCTGGGAACTTGCTGAGGCTTAGTCATAGAATCATTGAATGGTTTGGGTTTGAAGGGACCCTTAAGATCATTTAGTTTCAACCCCTCTGCTATAGGCAGAGACACCTCCCTCCAAACCAGGTTGCTCAAAGTCCCATCCAGCCTGGCTTTGAATGCTTCCCAAGAGGGGGCATTCACAACCTCGCTGGGTAACCTGTTGAAATGTCGTACCACCCTCACAGTAACAAATTTATTCCTAGTATCTAGTATAAATCTGCTGTTTTCCAGTTTAAAACCACTTCCCCTTGCTGTACTCTGCTGGGTTTAATTGAGACATACTGGAAAATCTCTGTTGGGTTTAATGGTGATACAGCTCTGCCTGGTTTAACGGTGAAAGAGCTCTGCTGGGTTTAACGGTGGCACACTTGCACAGCTCTGCTGGGTTTAGTAGTGGCACATAGCACAGCTATTTCTCCCAGAAATGCCAAAAATGTCATACAATTTGGAGAAAATCTCTTATATTTGGGAGAAAAGTGGTATTCCTGTGAGAAAATGTCCTATTCTTGGTTGCAAGTGTCGTATTTGGTATTGTCATCTAGTATTTTTGAGAGAAAACGTGTGGCAGTTCTAAGAAACTGGGTATTTCTGGGAGAAAATATCAGATTTTTGGAA